GGCCAGCAAATGCAAGGGGGGAGGCGCCCGCCCGTCACGGGGCAGACACATAAACACAGACAAATCCACAACCACACGCAAACGCATAGACACACACATAGAACCAGCCACACACACACACACACACACGAACACAAAACAAACACACAACGTAGCACTCGCACCGTACACAAACTTACAAGCACACACAAGAGCACACACACAAGCACACACAGGCACACCAACACATACACACAAACACACGCAACCACATGCTCACATATAAAGCCGCACACACAAAAGCACACAAGCTCACAAACAAACACACAAACAGGCCCACTCACAATCACACACACACAAACACACACATACACTCTCACACACACACACGCAAACACACGCAACCTCACAGACAAACACACACAGACACAGGCACACAAAGACACACACACACACACATGTCACACACACGCACTCACACCGGCACGCACTCACAGACACAGGACACAGACACAGACACAGACACAGACGCAGACACAGAGACACACATACACACACTCATACACACAGACACACTGACACCCGCCAACACACACGCACACGCACGCACCCGTACACACTTGTGTATCTACAAAACAGCCGAGTCCGAACTGTGGAACGGCGCAACGGACTTCGTTAGTTACCGCCCCAAGGCTTTGAGGCCGCCCACAGCCCCTACAGAAGTCAAGGTGGGCGGACGGGACAAGCTGCCCCACCCTTGACTAAAAAACGACAGCAGTCCGCCAGCGCGCGCGTACGGAGGAGACACGAGGAGGGGAAAGTGGGGAGCCCAACTCTGATTTCCCCTTCGCGAGCCCGAGTTGGCTCCCGCCCCACTCCCTTCTTCTGTCTTGCAATCGCAGAGCACCAGGGTTCCGAGGCCGCTCCCAACCCCAATACTCCAGATTTCGTAATAAAGGGAGGGGGGTCTCATTTCGGGGGGGGTCTCTTCCAAGCTATCTTGGAGGGCCTGGGGGGGGTCTGGGGACGATGTTTTGGAGGGTTCTCCCACGGGGGGGGGTCTGAAATGGCTTGTCTTGGAGGGTCCAGACCCCCTCCCTTTTATTACGAGATCTGGAGTAACCAGTGGAGGAGCGCGGGGAGCGGCCCAGAAGCAGAGCAGAGCGGTGCTGTACTGCTCCGAGCTGGAATCATCGACGACGCCCTGCGCCAGCAATCCGCCAGCCGCTTCGTCGCCAGACACGCGCGACCAAGCTGAATCTACCGATCGCCAGCCCCCCCTCGCGAGCATGGCTTCCGCGCCCGACGCAGCAAAAACTTCTCCAGGCGCACCAGGCTGGACATCATGCCCAAACTACGCTTCGGGATTAGCGACCACCGACCGCGCGCAAGGGGTATCGGAGTTCAGCTGTCCAGGGTTCTGGGGCGTAGCCACCAAGCTGCCGCCCCCCGCCCAAGAGATCATTTCACACGCGGTCCCGCCCTTGACCTAAAAACGGCAGCAATTGGGAGGCGTGCGCGCACGGAGGAGACATGAGGAGGGGAAAACGGGGAGTCGAACGTTGCCTCACCTTCGCGAATACACACGAGTTGACTAACCGAATGAGCGTGGGATCAGAGGCCTGGACCGCGCTTGTGCGGAGCGGCTCGTAAACAGGCCAACGCACAGAAACACACACACAAACATGCTTTCCGCAGGGTGCGTCGGCCCTGGGCTCTCTGTCACTCGATAGCCCTGTCCGCCGATGCATGTTCGGGAAACGGCAGGCAGAATAAGTGTCCTCCACAGCAACCGAATTCGAGATGGGCCGCTGGATTCTTCGCTTGAGGCTGCGGACCTGGCGCTGTTCACGAGAGATCGCGGTCCTCGGAGCGCAGACGCAGCGCAGTCTACGAGGAAGGCATCGTGGCCCTGGCAGCGCGGGCGCAGCGCAACTTTATGCAGGATCGTGGCCTCCTAGCGCAGACCCCGCGTGTGTGGCCCCTCGCCCCCGTCGGCCTCTCCAGCTGGCCCTCGCCTCGCCCGTTCCCTCGTTCCCTGTGCCTCGCGGCGCTCCGGCGCGCCCCGCCGCTGTGGACTGGGGCGCCCGGTCTTCTTGCGCCCGCGAAGCGGAAGAGTGGGCGCAGATCCAGCGTGATCTACCAGGGGCTCTAGCCCTCCGTGCAGTGTGGGCAGACTCCTGGCCTGGGAGGGAGGACCTGGCCCGATGCAAGTGACGAGGGGTCGTGGACAGTGGCCCTTGGAGCGTGGACGCGGTGTCGAAGGCTCGTCGCCCTGGGAGCGCGCCTTCCGCTTGCAGGGGACCGCGACCTCGGGCGCGCGGGCGCAGAGCAATGCACCGGGGGCCGCGGGCCCCGAGGAGCGCGGGCCCAGCGCGACTCGCGAGGGGGCCGTGGCCCATGGGAGCGCGAAGGTGCAGCGCGACCCGCGAGGGCTCGTGGCCCTGCATGCATGGCGCGGGGGCAGCACGAGGCGGCGGCACCCGCGAGGCATCGCGGCCCAATGGGAGCGCGGAGCCGCTGCCGTCTGCCGGCTCACGGGAGGGCGTGCTGGGCCCTGGGGCCGGGCGCCCACCGCCTGGAGAGAGTCACAGCTTGAGGAGGAGGAGGAGGAGGAGGAGGAGGAGGAGGAGGAGGAGGAGGAGGAGGAGGAGGGGGAGGAGGGGAGGAGGAGGAGGAGGGGGAGGAGGAGGAGGAGGAGGGGGAGGAGGAGGAGGGAGGAGGAGGAGGAGGAGGAGGGGGAGGAGGAGGAGGAGGAGGAGGAGGAGGAGGAGGAGGAGGAGGAGGAGGAGGAGGAGGAGGAGGAGGGGGAGGAGTTGGAGGAGGGGGAGGAGTTGGAGGAGGGGGATGAGGAAGGTGAGCCGAAACGTGTTCGGCTGGCCCTGGCTCGGCTCGTCGCGCCTCGGTGTGCGCCGCGGTTCGGCCCGCCACTTCTCGGTGCACCTTTGCTCTCGGGTCGGAATTCGCTCCCTCTCGGTCCGCCCCGCTTCGGAACTGAGTATGATCTTGGGTTCGAGCTGGTTGAGCGCTGCTCTCGGTTCGGATTTGCTCCCTCTCGGCTCGCCCCGCTTCGGAACTGAGTCTGATCTTGGGTTCGAGCTGGTGGAGCGCCCCGCGCATTTCGAACGCAAGAGCTGCCAGCTCTGGGCGAGCCATGCGTCCAGGCAGCTCGAGCTTCCGATCCAGATCAGTTCGGTCAGGATTTGGACACGAAGGACGACTTGATCCACAGCGCAATAGGGTACAGCACGGCTCAATACAGCATGGCACATCACGTTTCAACACAACCTGCCACGGCGCTGCTTAGCACAGTGCACCAGTGCCGCCCCTGGCACAGTAACATCCCCATCGATTTCGGCAGCTGTGTCATTGTCCGTCGCCAGAGTTAGGTGTCCTCGAACGTCCCCATGCCTGGCAGGTCTACATATATATATATATATATATATATATATATATATGTATGTATGTATGTATGTATGTATGTATGCATGTATGTATGTATGTATGTATGTATGCATGCATGCATGCATGCATGCATGCATGCATGCATGCATGCATGTATGTATGTATGTATGTATGTATGTATGTATGTATGTATGTATGTGTGTACTGGGTTCGATGGTCTATCATGCTTCCTTTGGCGTGCCAATCGGGTCAATCAACGTTTCTAGTACAACTAGTACGGGTCATGGTTAACCAACAAGCACACACACACGCACGCACGCACGCACACAGCACAAACGGGCACACTGACACACACACACTGACACACACACACGCACACAGACGCACACACGCGCACACACACGCACACACGCGCGCACACACGCACGCACACACGCGCACACAGTTACACACATACACGCATACACACAAACGCACATACAAACACAAACACACAAACACACGAGCACACAACACACACAACACACAGCACACAACACACAACACATAACACACACACACACGCACGCACACACGCACACGCGCACACACGAACACGCACAAACGCGCACACGCACGCACGCACACGCCCGCACACGCACGCACACGCACGCGCACGCACACACGCTCACACGCACACACGCACACACGCTCACATGCCCTCGCTCGGCGATCCCGGGAGCTCCCCGTCTCAGATGGCCCCATCATATCGGCACCGCCACCGCCCGAGCTTTCTGTCGCGGGGCAAACAGAGGCATACTCCAGATTTCGTAAGACAGGGAGGGGGGGTCTCATTTCGGGGGGGGGTCTCTTCCAGGCTATCTTGGAGGGCCTGGGGGGGTCTGGGGACGATGTTTTGGAGGGTTCTCCCACGGGGGAGGTCTGAGATGGCTTGCCTTGGAGGGTCCAGACCCCCTCCCTTTTATTACGAAATCTGGAATACCCCCCGAATACCCCCCAAATGGGCAAAAATAGTCCAAACATCGTTCCCAGAATATGTTTTGACTATTTTTGAGTATTCCTCCTGTGGAGGGGCAGGCCCGACTGAATTATAGATATGCCATTTTTCTTCTTCGGATTTCGGGCTGGCCGACCTGCAGCTTACGCTTACCTGCGCGCGCACAGTGGATCGGCGGCGAGAGAGGTGGGGAAAATGACAAGGAGAAGGCCTTCTCGGAAGGCGGCGGGGCTTCTCAGAAGGCCCCCAGCCTTCTGAGAGCTGCTCTGTGCCCTCGGGGGCGCCTTGGAGAACTTCTGAAGGCCGGGGGCCTTCCGAGCCTTCTGAGAAGGCCTGCCCCTGTTCGGACGCCTGGATGCTTCTCGGTCATCACCCGGGCCTCCGGTGGCCGCTTGGGACGGTCCGGGCACCCCCGGGACGCTCTCGGCGAGGCGCAGCTGCTGGAGCGCATCCCGAGGCTGGAAACCGCCGAGAACCGACGACGGCGCTCGAAAACCTCGAGCCTCGAACCTCGAACCCCGAACCTCGAACCTCGAACCTCGAACCTCGAAAACCTCGAACCTCGAACCCCGAACCTCTCACTGCCCCTTCCCTCCCCTGGGCTCGCCGCCGCATGGAGGGAGAGGGCCGCTACGCTCGGCGCCCCGAGCATGCCCGAGCGCCTGCGCTCTCACAGCGACAGCTTGCTGCCGGTGCTGCCTCTCCTCGCCGCCAGCCCCTCGGCAGTACTTCTCGCCGCCGCGGCCGCCTGGGCAGGTCAGGGCACGGCCGCTGCCAGCGGCTAACCCTCGACGGAGCCATCGGCGCCTATCCTCCTATGCTCCTCCTCCTCCTCCTCCTCCTCCTCCTCCTCCTCCTCTCCGTAGCCATTTTGGCTCAAGGGCTTTGTCTTGGCGGGCTGAGCCCGCATAGGCAGAAACGGACACCGCTGACACCGCGGCAGTGCGAGGGCGCTTGCGCCCGATCAGTTTCTTTGCAGTGCTGGTTCGCCCCAGCAACTGCTTCTCCACGGGGCTCGGAGCTCCCGAGCCATCCCAGGTCTTCGAAGGCGGCGAAGCGGCGGCAGAATGAGAGTGAGAACTGGGTCTGTCGTTTCTGCGTCCACGCTGTCACGAAGAAGCCCTGGTTCAACAAAGCAGGGGTCATGTACTGTCGCCAGTGCAGCCTGCACAAGTCCGTGTGCTTCAAAGAGAATCTCAAGCAGTCGGAGTCTCCAAGCACTTCTACTCGGTCTGCCACGCTCGAGGCCAAGTGTGCGGAGCTTCAAGAGCAAGTCAGACAGCTTCAAGCAGCAAGGCGTTCTTCTCCTGATTCAGGTACTGGGAACCCTCCTCCTTGGGCTGCTGATGCTAAGCAGTGTGACAAGCGCAGCAGGATCAAGTACCTGGAAGGTCTCATCAAGCAAGTGGCGAGTGGAGGCTTTTCCCAGGACGAGGAGCTGCTCAGACGGTACCGAGAAGAGAAGTCTGCCCTCGAGACGGCCTTGTTTGCTGACAGACCTGTTGAGGAGCAGGCTCGCAGTTTGGCAAACCGGCTTCAAAGTGCTCGGCATAAGGAAACGCAGCTGCAGAAGGCCCGCGATGAGCAGCAGAGCAAGATCAGCGAGCTCCAGAAGGTCTTGGAGAGCCTCGACACGCGTTTGGTTGAGGCCAAGGAGGAGGTCCTGCGGCTTGAATGTGAGACGAGGGCAACCATGTCCAAGGCTCAGCCACCCGACGGCAGTGGGGAAGGGCCTCCTTCGTTGCGGCAAATGCTCCCCACGCTCTCTGTGTCGGTCGAGCAGCTGGGGGTGGTCGCTTCTGGGCTGGGGGTTCCTCCAGACCTCTTGGAAGAGCTGCAGGCGATGGCGGCCACGATCAAGAAGCTCGCCGAACTCCCTGCAGCGCAGCCACCCACCCCAGAGCCACAGCAGCAACCGCAGACGCCCGAGGAGCCCGAGGAGGACCCCGAGGAGGACCCTGCGCCACATGTTGAGTCCATGGACGTGGATGATCTGCGGGCTACTCTGGATGCAGCAGGGATACCTGCGCAACCCTCGGATGACGCCGAGGTGCTGCGTGGCAAGATCAGGAAGATGCAGACGAGCTACCTCTCCATGTGCAAGCGGCAAAAGCCGTCGGCCGAGTAGGTTCTCGCTTGTGTTCAATGTGCTCAGTGTGATGGTTGGAAGTGTTAGTGGAATGATGGTTGTTTCGGAAAGTGCAGGACCTTCCCCGCGAATGGAAGGAATATTGGGCTCGAGTGGCGACCGCTGTGTACTCGGAAGCGCTGGACCTGTTGTTGGGATGACTGGCACTGGTGATTGCGTGGAGGAGGCCAGCGGGAGCCCTTTCTCATTGAGTCGATGTGCTATTTCAGATGATGGTTCTAATTTTGCAGGGTTGGGACCTGCTTCTGTCCCATTGGCTTATGTGAATGCTGGTATGTGGAGTACAAGGGCTTCCACCAGTCTTTTGTCTGCCCCTGGTAGTGGGCCAGGTGCTGGGGCTTCGGCGTCGGCCTCCTGTTCAGGGACAGCGTTGAGTTCGGCGACTCGGCAGTTCTCTGCATTGGGAGCAGTTCTGGGTCCTGCCATCGTCCCTTCGCTAATGGAGGGCGACCGCTGTGCTCTCGGAAGCGCTGGACCTGTTGTCGGGCCGACTGGCGCAGGTGATTGCGTGAATGAGGCCAGTGGAAGCCCTCCCTCAGGGAAGGCTTTTATTCGGAGTACTACGGCTTCCACCAGTCTCTTGTCTGCCCCTGGTAGTGGGCCAGGTTCTGGGGCTTCGGCGTCGGCTTCATGTACCAGGACAGCGGCGAGTTCGGCGACTCGGCATTTCTCTGCATCTGGTGCTTTTCTGGAATCTACCTTCGTCCCTTCGCTTATGGAGGGCGGCCGCTGTGTTCTCGGAAGCGCTGGACCTGTTGTCGGGCTGACTGGCGCAGGTGATTGCGTGAATGAGGCCAGTGGAAGCCCTCCCCCAGGGAAGGCTAGTATGCGGGGAACTACGGCTACCACCAGTCTCTTGTCTGCCCCTGGTAGCGGGCCAGGGGCTTGGGCTTCGGCGTCGGCCTCCTGTTCCAGGTCAGCGGCGGGTTCGGCGACGCGGCATTTCTCTGCCCCTGGTGGTGGGCCAAGTGCTGGCAGTTCGGCGTCAAGGTCAGCTGTTTCAGGCGGTTGGGGGCAGCCCGCGGTCATTGCCCCAAACGATGCGGCTGATGGTCCACCTCTCACTGGTACGAGGTCGGCTAAACGTTGCTGCATCACGACAGTCAATGCTGGCTCGCATGGGCCGCTGTTTGAGTATCTCTCGGAGTACCAGGGCTCGGTTCTCTTGGCGCAGGAGACCAGAGTCGTGGAGGCCCGTTTAGGAGAATTCCAGAATAGGGCGAGGGATGCAGGCTGGCACGGGCTGTGGTCAGCAGCGTTAGAGACGGGCGAGTCGGCCATGTCCAACTCGAGTGGGGTGGTGGTCTTTGCTCGCACCAACATCACCATCACCGCCCCCCCTGACGGCAGCCATGTGATATATCCTGGAAGAGCGGTATGCGCCCACGTGCAATGTGGGGTCCCAGGTGGCATTGTCTTTGCTAGCGTTTACTTTGTGACGGCGATTGGCATGACTGGAGAAAATCTTGCTATACTTTGGGCAGTTGTGCAGAGGATTGCTCAGTGGCAGGCTCTGGGACTGGACTGGGTGATAGGCGGAGATTGGAATTGCGACTTCTATGCCGTCAATGTCAAAGGTTGGGTCGAGAAGCTTGCAGGCTTGGCGTTTGTTCCGTCGGAGGCCACGTGCATTACCGACGCTGGTTCGTCCAAGATTGATTATTTTCTGGCCGCCAGCAACTTGGTTCCAAGACTCGACAGGCAGGCGGTGGTGATGAATGCCCAAGCCACCATTCCACCTCCACATTTTCCCGTGCAGCTGGTGGTCCATGGGTCGGACAGGCCCATGTGGTGTCGAGTTGCTGATGAACCGAGGAAGTTTCCCCCGATCCCACCAGTAGGATGTGCGAGGTACCCTTACAACTGGGACGGGATCAAAGGCATGTTTGAGTCGGTGAAGGCGCCCAGTGACTTACCGCGTGTGTGGGATGCAGTACTTGATGGCGTTGATTTCGAGATCGCTGGGAGATTTGACAAAGTCGATGGTAAGGCCCAGGAATTCGTTGGACGAGCTGGACCCCCGAGATTCAAATGGGAACAAATGACATGGACTCCACCTCGAAAGCGAGAATATCGAGACTCCAGGGTAGCTGCGTGGGCCACGGCAAAGCGTTGGGTGGCCCACTTGCGGTCGGAGAAGGATAAGCTGCACCGTTTCTGTGAGCGGCTCCGAATATGCAGTGCGGTGTGCACGTTAACCGAGATGCAGTACTTCAAGGTGCTGCAGGCGTTCGACGAGGCTGGGAGATATTGTGACAAGATTTCTGCTGAGCAGTGGGTGCTCAAGGATTTGGGTGAGGAGTTCAGTGAATTTCTGCAAAAAGGGTTGGTGATGATTGTCGATCCAAACTTTGAGAGTATCACTGATGCCATTTCCGCCCAGGCCGACAAGGTTTTAGGCCAGGAGCGTTCTAGAACGGAAAAGATTTGGAGAGAATGGGCTCGTGAGTCTTTCTTGGAAGGGGCCAGTCGGGCCCATGCGATGTCCAAAGTCCGAGCACAAGCTGAAGTACTCCAATATTGTCAGGAGTCGCAGCCATACCAGCTTGCTGACCAGACTTTGCGGCAGTGGTCCAAGGTATGGACGCATCATCGGCTTCAAGCGCCTGATCTTCCCTCGGATTCCAGTGAGTGGGACGCTCTTCCCCATATCTCTTTTACTGATGTAAGGAATGTGGTGAGGTCCTTTTCGACCAAGACAGCTGCTGGCCCTACGAGGTTGGCGCCGAGGAGTCTGGACGTCCTGTCCGACGGCGCGCTCCAAGCTATTGGCAACCTTTTCATGTTATGTGAACGGTGGTTGTGCTGGCCAGCAGATCGAATATACAGCGAACTCGTGCGACTGCCGAAACCCGATGGCGATCACCGATTAATTGTTCTGAGTAACACACTGATACGTGTATGGGGGAAACTCAGGCGACCGATTTCGAGGGAATGGCAAGATCGATATGCCTGCCATGAGATGTGGGGCACGAAATCGGGGCAGACTTCGAGCGATTCGGCATTCGACCACAATTTGCAGCAGGAGATTGCCGAGTTGCTAGGGGAGAACACATGCACGATTCTTTTGGATATGTCCAAGTGCTACGAGATGGTAGACCCGCACGCTTTGTTGCGAGAAGGGAGAGCCTTGGGGTTCTCTATGCGATTGCTGTGGATGCTCGTGTGCAGTTACCAGCAGCCGCGAAGGATTCGCGCGTTTGGTAGCGTATCGGTTGGGCAGGTATCTTACCAAGGAATTTTGGCGGGTTGCACGCATGCTACTTTCCTCCTCTACCTGCTCACGTACAGGGCTGTCAGTAGAGCAAACCAGGTCTCGGTCACGGTCACGCCCCGCACCCTCATGGATGATGTCGGGCTCCAGTCCATCTCGAAGGCCCCTGAGGACCTCAAGTATCTGGCCATTGCGGCCAAGGGCTTCGTCCACGATTCCAAGGGGCTGGGTATGGTTTTAAATGCTGCGAAGTCAGGCGGGATCCCTGGGAAAAAACGTCTCTGGAAGACCGTCAGTAAGTACATGGGCTCCATGAAGATCCCGTTCAAGGCCCACATGAGGAACTTAGGCCACGAGTTGTCAGGACCTCGAGTTTTGCGTAGGATCGAGAAGCGTCGC